CAGGATTAAAAGGAGATTAGAACGTATAACTTGACCCTCGCGAATTACCGTTACACAACATACTCATTTTCTCAACTGCAAAGTCTGTTACAATTAGAACTCGCGCGTTGGTTTTCCGTTCTCATTACGGTCTCACGATCGTAATATCTTCATTACGCCTTTGAATACAATCCAAATTGGAGCACAGAGGGAACCTCTTTATATCTTTTATGAGAGAAACAAAAAATGTAAAAAAAAAAGCGTATTGTCATCATCGATAATTGCAGACGTGTAACTGTTCGAAATAGGATTAAACCGGGATAACGGGCGGGAAGCGGCCGCAACAATACGATCGGATACGTGCAGATTACGCGATATACGTAACTCTTATTGTGCGACTAAGTGCACGTGACGTCATATCCGCGCTCCCCCCAGAAGAGGGTTTTGTTCCCCGGCCATTCTCTCCGCACGAGTTAAACAGTAACGCGCGCCCAATTTTACGACGAGATAATTGACGATTAATGCGTGGCTCTCCGCTTCTACACACCAAGTGGAAAGCGAAAGGCCAGGCGAACTAGAGCGTAACCCCTTCGTGAGATTGGACTCGTTTAAAAAAACACGGAAAAGAACGGTCTCTGAAATGCTACAACCTTTTCCGACCGGCCGCTTATCTGCCTCCTCCTGTTGCAGCAGAAAACCCGCAAGATTCCGGCCTTTATCATTATCTAACTTGTTTGCGTTCGATCTTTCAAATCTCATGTAGGTTTTTTAAGGTATTAGATTTGCGAGATCTACGTGATGATGCAAAAAATTCTTTATAAGTACAATAATCATAAAAGTAAGATTCTGGCCAATGGATGAGTGCACTGAGGGAAAAATTATCTTGAGATAAAAAAATTTTAGTTAACTCAAGAAAGCTATTTATTCGGTGGGTACTAATCACGTATTTACTTGTATTCAAAACGTCTGCTTGCTTAAATATTTATTTACATATGTGTAAAAAAATATATATATTTAAAAAAATATAATTTTTAATTAAATATTTTTATTTTAATTTTACAAAATATTTATTAAAGTGCATTTTTTATTCCCAAAAATTTAAAATTTTTTAATTTTGAAATATATTTAATTTAATAAATTATAGTATATATTTTACGAAAATAGTATTTAAATATAAAAAATATATAAATGAAAATAATGTACTTAATGTAACATGCATATTTAATTAATGTTAAATGCTTTTGCTTAAATGAAATAAACAATTCTTTCCATTTAAAGCAAAAGTTTCAAGAAAACAAATTTATTTGATTTAAAAAAATTTTTCCCTCAGTGTACAAACATTTTTTTTTACACCCGGAAAATATTTCCGAAACACTTAAATCGAAATTTTTAATTTAGATCATACACAATATTTTACGTCGCATAAAACTAAATTAAATACCATGGAATACACGGAATTTAATAACTTGTGGAAAATGTTGAATTAGAGGTAAAGTTGAGATTCTTTAAGATTTTTCTCCCTCGTAATTTTGAAGAGAAATGAAACACAAAGTCTTACAATATGTGTGTCTTAAGCGTTCTTCAACGACTTACTGTCATTAAATATACTTTCAAACTACGAGTGCGTTTCAAGCTAGCACACTTTGTAAGTCTCTCTATCTGAAAGATAATATTAAACGAGATTTACCTTTACTCTGCGGAACGATACTACGGTAGTCTATTGACGAATAAATATCATCGGCGTCTCTCCCTTTTGTTAAAGCGACGCGCATAAAGCAAATTTCAATTCATTAATGCTAAAAGGCTGCTCTTACGCGTCTGTCAGTCGATATAATGCACTTGCACCGTTTAAGCTACAGTATGGCATTTCCAGTTAGTGCATTCTGAGAGATTCATTGACGTATAGAGAGGCGAGGCGTCTATATTGTAACATGCGCTGTGGATGCGAGATTGAGTAAATCGCGAGAAGAAATTGATGAAAGGCGATAAAAGTCGCCGAAGATTCGCATTGACGTCAACAGTTGTAAGAATCCTTTCGGAAACAGTAACTCAAACGCGCTTTGAATTGCGAAAGATCATAGAAAGCATTCCTGGCGTTTGGAAATCGATTTTAACGCTACGTCAAGGTCGATGAATCTAGGTAAGAAAAATTACCATATAAATGAGAAACTAACTGTTGAGATACAAATGTCTACTTTGAAGGTGAAGAAATGGAAACAAATGTAAAGATCATCATCGCCTCGTTATCGATTTTCTTTTATTTAATTCAATTTTATTTATTTATTTTATTTAATTCAATTTTATTTATTTATAAAATGTGCAATTTTATTTATTTATAAAATGTGCATTCTAAATAAGATGATTAAATTATATTGATTTTAAAATATTTAATAAAAGAATGACTTTAATTAGCCGGAAAGATATATTTTTAGAAAATACACACGCAATTAGCATCAACTTAAATAGATAGCTAAATGGTTTAAATCTTGCCGATTGATTTGAATTTATTAAGTCACTATTATTAAATCACTGTTATATTACACGGCAATCGAGACAAATATATATGCAGTCGTAAAGATTAGAAATAATAGCCGCGAATTTGCTCGTATTTCAATCAATTCTTAATCGAATAATTCAGAATGATGGAAATTTTTGAACAATTCTTTGTTATATAAATAATATTTAACAGGAAAAACATGCAATTGCGATCGCTTTTTACGTTAATGTCTGTATTATTTCACGGTTATTGAATCATAACAATATATTGCTGTCCTTTATACGTTCCCTCACATTTTACTTAAATTGAACGAATAATCTTAGCTTCGTTAGGATTGAAAAATCTTTTCCAAGAACATGGTTTTCTACTTGATGCAATTTAATCCAGAATATTTCCTTGCGCTCTTCATATTCAGTCATAATGGATTGAATTTAAAAAGCGATTGACAAAACAAAAATTGAGAGATTATTCAAACTCTGGCATGCTAGATTTATAACGGATTGAATTCTATTCATCATATACCATGGGAATGTACTAACTCCTTTGGGAATATTGAACAACGACATTTATAATTAATTCATTCGAAAGCCGGCTTAAAATTTAAAAGCAACCGAGCTCTATCGATTTCTTGTACCGCAGCCATTTCTGACCGCAAAGATGGCAGCAGCAAACAATACTATTTGTGCAGCAAGCGCATCGAAGTGTTTTTATTTCATACCTGTGGCACATCCGTCTTCCGGACAGGAAGGAAATATTAAAAAAACACACTTGGGTCGTTTTTAAATACAGATTGTTGAAAAGTCTGAAATACTGATATTTAAAAAAATGTTATCCCCAAAGGTCGAAAAAGATTGGAACGGATTATTCATTACGGAAATGGAATTAAATGTAAATGAAAAATTTTTAGAGCAAAACATGTACATCCACGAATCATTCATCATCGTAAACGATAATTATCAATGTTGAGAAAATACATTACATTTGTGAAAAACAACATTTAGTATATTGTTTACACATGAATATTTAATAGACATTTGCAGTTACGCGTACAAAATTGCAGGACGCAATTACGCATAATTAGCTACATACGCGCAAAATTGAGCATTCATGATTACGTGAGAGATGAAAAAGAAATATCATGCGCGCAATTTTCATATAGCTTGTATCGCTCAACACACGAGTTTATAATTACATCGGGATCGATGAGCGGCGATCGGATTTGCCAATTGAATTGGCGTGGCGATGCTGCGCGAACCAATTTCTAGGGTCTCGCGTTATTAAACGCGCAGCTATCGATTAAATGAAATTTCGATCGTGCAGTTCAGAGTGAGAGCGTTTACGCGAAATGCCTCGCTAAATATCACGCATACTTTTACTTTTTCCCGCCTGAAACTTTCTTCTACATATGACGGTAAGGAAAAAAAAAAGTGCCTATGCAAAGTCGACAATTTGTACACCCCCCGAGTGAGGAGAAAGTGCGTCATTCTTATACATTACAAATTCTTTACGCTCAGGATTTACTATTTTATATAATCGCACATGCGATAACGTTCCTTTCTTTGGAATATTAATTGCGAGAATTTTTTGATCGAATTGCAATATCGCGCTATTATTATACAATTTTCAGTTCATTCACTTTGCTCAGTCGTACATTACCTTGTTACACGTAGACGAGCTTGCGAAATGCATCATAAGTGGTAGTCGTAACTGTATCTAAATTTATGTTGCAATTTCATAATCCGGTAGCTCCGGCCGTTACGTCGAGCATTTGCGGCAATAATGGGATAGTTAGCGATTCACCGTGTTACCCTCATGAATATTAAGATTTACTAACGACTTTATAATATCCTTCGATACCTCGGCGAGCGAAATTTTACATACACGAATACTGCTCTTCTTCTTTTTTACACCCGCGTGATAAGCCCAAACTATTACTATGGCAAATAACACTCTAGAGAAGCTAGAGCTTCAGCCAAGTGACTCGAAATTACAATATCGGGCCTATTAACTCGCATTTCACGTTACTTTGCACAAAAGTGCACATTGTACAAAAGATGTTCGTGTATTATGGCAAATGCCCATATAAAAAGAGAAATTTCTCTCCCCCTTTCGTGGATTTCGTTATTACCGCGATTTAAAAATGAGAAAACAGCACGGAAACGATCCGGGAGATTATGATAGATGCACGACGCTTTCTATCCTTCCTTTCTCTACGTGGTACGTTATACTTTTCTCGTGCTCATGTTTTAACAGTTAATTCACCTTGATGCGGGATGAAGTATGGGACGCCGAGTGTCCTACTTTTATATCTCGGGGATATTGATAAGTACTATTTTTTTCGCATCATTTAATTCGCAGAGAAAGTGTAATATATTTTATATAAATAGAAATTTTTTTTCGATTTAAGATCATTCTTTCGATCATCTGTTTAAATTCCGTCACGTCGCTTTTTTACAAATGCACATTAATAACGTTTTAAATTAGACCGCTAATAATAAGCAATCGTGTCTTTTTTGTGTTACAGAGAATTCAGGTGTAAATGATCTCATGGTCCGCCACGATGTCGTCGACACTATTACTGAGTTGTAAGTATATTTTTTGCGCTAAATTCGCGAGAGTTTCTGTCGTGTTGAAAAATTTTAATTTTAATATTACTCTGAATGATGTAGGTGTTTTGACGACATGGCTGTTCGTCGATGTAGGAGCGATCACCGTATCAATAGATCGCGCCGACATTAAAGCTGTAAGTATGATCGATATAAAAAAATTTCACCTAATCTCTATTGTACATTATTAATTAATAATTGTTAGCATCGCATTACTTTTGTATTCTTTTTAAATTTAATCTTCTATTATCGGTGTAATTAATATTAAATATCAGAAAGTTGAGTGATAGTGAATCTTCTCTTTGAGATAAATTCTTTTTACTAAAAAAACTATCTCTCCAGATTTACAGAACGGATCGTATATAAATTATAAACTTTCCATACAGTTTTCCGAGGGAGAGTTTTTTTCGCGCATTTGATATTTTATTGACACCTTTTTATTATCGTATAAGTAATTTTGAGGTAGTAAAATCTCTCAGGCTCGGTTGCACCAACGTTATTTTAGCTTTAAGCGAGACTTAAATATGTATCTATCTTCATTTTTTTTTTCTAAATAAATAAAGACATACATATATTCAAGTTTCGCTTAAAGCTAAAATAATGTTGGTGCAATCAGGCTTCAGTCCTTTCATTTTAATGACATTTTACGCGACTCGACAGCGGAAATGCGTGACAATTCCTTTACCGCCTCGGAAATAAAATAACTGGGAAAGTTAGATGAACGATAGTTCGCCATCTAAAAGCTATTGATTTTATTTCACGTGTAACACAATATTCACGCGCAAGTCTCTCCACATTCGCCATCGAAAAATTACATTCCGACACTTTAGATTTGTGATTTCATTACGCTATTAAGATACTCGAGAGACTCGTGCGCAAAACGTGCTTAAGAAGGCTATTTGGAAATGGCATGTTCTCTCAAAGCCTCGTACACTTATTTTCTGATTATACCGACCGCAGCTCGCCAATGGCGGGAAATAATGATCTCACTTACGATTTTCTCGAACGTGCGCGTTGCGGTGAAACTGGAACAGGAACCATTCCATTAACCCCTTCAGGAAGTTCGAGTATCGCATTACTGTAGCTGTCCTCGCTTTAAACGCGAACGAAAGTTGTGTTTGATACACCGTATAGGGAAGGTACATAAGAGCTTTATGGCAAAGCTAAATACAACAAGTTTCTCGGCTGCCAATGTACCTCTCTAATGAATTATAGTTCACAACACCGCTTGTTATCGAGTAAATGGAGAAGCGTAAAAGAGAGTTAATTATAAGAAAGAATATTTTTCAGAGAATACGCTGTTGTAAATGTATTATTCTAAAGTTCTCGGGAAAATGTCAAGGATGTATACGAATTTTATCAATTTAATTATTTTTATTATTTTTATTATTATTTAATTATTTTTATTATTTCGTAATTCAGTAAGAAATTTATACACCTGATAAATTTCCGTGTCGAAATGTAAAGCTCGAGTTTGTGATCCGTAGCCACCAACACGCTCGTCAATGATTGCAAACGGATGGCGACCACTGACCAATTCCTACGAGGAAACCATCGGCACCAATGTATCGCCATCCAGCCACCTAGAGAAGAACGTCCAGGTGCATCCGGTCCTGAGTAAATTTCAAGAGCATATGGCGACCTCGGAGAAACTGAAGCCGCTGCGAAAGGACAAGCCACCGGTTCATGAATACAGTCCACCGAGTATACTCGGCAGTTTCTCGGTGTTTGGACATGCGGCGACGAAGGCGCGCGGCGAGACCAAGACCCCGAGCAAGCCCAAGGCTTCAGAGACCCGGGAATACACGTTCCTGATACCACCGCCCAAGGACGCGTATCGTTTCGAGGTGAGCCAGCACCGCAAGCCAATCTTACGCGACACCGGCAACTATATACGACAGCCGCAGTACATCCCGGCGCAGAATACTCATCAGCAACTACCGGATCCCGTGCGCGCCGCGACCTATTTCATCAAGAGTTACGCGTCTACCGATCATCCATCGACGCACGCTGCGAGTCACCCGAGCAATCGTCCTTACGTACCACCCTACGCTATGCCTCAGGCGTTGCAATCCTCCCGTCATCAGGTGAAACCGTTCGAGTCGCTGAAGATCAACAACGCGAAACCGTATTTCCAGCCGCCCGGCGCGGAGATTCCAGGTGACTTCGGCAAACAAAAGATCGGCAACGAACGCGACACCTATGACAGATACCAGGCGCAAACGCACAGCGCGCAGATCTTGAACGCGGCGAGCAGCGGGAACTTCTACAGCCAAGTGAACCACTCTCCGAATGGTCACTTCAAGTCCTCCTACGAAAGGGATCCCGCTTTCCTGGTGCACGAGAGCCACGAGGTCAGCTATGTCACGTCCCCCGGGACATATAACGCGTACAACAACTTCCGGCCCTCGCTGCCTTACGAGACCCTGCTGCCTCCCGCTGTCTACACGTCCTCGTCGACGCCGCCGTCCACCACCGCTGTTACGCGAAATCCCACAAAGTATAGTCAGACAATCGTCGATGTCGTTCGTGAAAACGATTACAAACGTCCGGATCAGAGTAGAATCAAGCCGGAGAAACTCGATGGACAGACCGAATCGCCGAATTCCCGAACGACGAGCACTTATTATGTATCGGAGCAACAGGACTTGACACCGCCTACGTGGGCGAAAAGCAAATACACGTCTGACTTAAATGAAGTTCTTCCAAGGGAGAATCCGCCGAGCAAGTTCAGCCAAGAGATCGTGAACCAGAATCAGATCACGCAGGTGCCAAAGCTCGTCTATCATAGACCGCAAAGCTCCTTCAATCCTTCCCCTCCTGTTGAGGTTTACTCACCGACGCCGATACCGGATTACGAGACACCTGAGAGTATCTCTCTAAAGCACTTTAACGAGCAACAGTATCTGTTGCAACAACAGTTGCTGCAGCGCGATCGGGAAAGACTGGTGGAACAGGAACGCCAGCAGAAACTGGAGATCGAACGGCAGCAGCAGGAGGAATTGAAGAAACGGCAGGAAGAGCTGGATCAGCTTTTACAACAAGAAAAGGAGGAGGAACAGGCAGCCAGACTAGCCATGGAGTCTGCGAAAAATCAGTCGCAGGATATCGTGAAGATCTCGCCCGAAACGATGCCATACACGATTCAATTGGCACAATTCGAACCGCAGGTCACTACGGACGTCAATATCCTTGTATCGGAGCCCGATATTTACAATGTCGAACAATTAAAATTACAGCCTCAGGTAAGATCTCATTTCTTATAGTTTAACGTGTCGCGTTAAATATTCAAGCATTTATTAATAAAAATTTTTAACGATGAATAGTTGGATTATGAATATTAATTGTAAAATATTCTCTCTTAGTAGAATTTAATATAATTTTATTTAATAATTTTATTAAGAATTGCCCTCTATTTTTTAATTATTATAAACTCAAGATAAAAAACAGAAAAGTTATAAAATAACTTAATGTCGCTAGTCAAATAATCAAAGGATCATTGAAAAAAAGTGTAGTCGACCAAACTAGCCAGAAATTTTGTTTATTAATACGACGTTTCGATCATAAGATTGTGGTCCTTATCAAGTATATACTGGAAAAGATTTATAAATAAATTAATTAATTGATTAACGGTTTGAATAATATAACACGCATAACGAATTAAAGTGTGAACAATTTTTACCGATGTAATAATAATCAGGGGACAGGCATAGACGATAATCTTGCAAAATTGCACAAGTCACATTAACAAAAACGTTATTTAACTAGATTCGAATTTGAGAGAAACTGATGCGTCCGTGTGAGACTTCGTCAAGAAACTAAACACAACCAAAGGAAAAACGAAACTACGTGACCTTTATTATTTTGTCGTAAATGTTGTTTAAACTATCCGTGTCTTTCTGTAGGTTGATTAGATTATTAAATCTGTTGATAAAGAACATCTCAGCAATCTTTCTCTTTCGAACATACTTTTCATTATGCAAAATATTGGGTTTCGACCAGTCAAAATCATGTTCGGATTCCAATCTATGTTTGTTAATGACCGAGTGATTAGTTTCATGTAACTTTATATCATTACAATGTTCTTTCACTCGCGTACGTAAATGTCTTTTTGTTTGCTCAATGTATGATAAATTACAATCCTTACAATTTAATTTGTATACAACACTTGTCCTTGTCATTATTATGTAAGCTATCTTTACCGCGTCTAATTAAATTATTTAGTTTTTTTGTTATTTTGTAGACGACGTTAAAACCACTATTTCGTAAAAGACGGTACAGATCATGATTCGTATTCTCTACGTATGGTATTGTAATAAAATGAGTCTAAACGAGTAGGATTTACGTCAACAGTATCATTGTGGTCGCGATTATTTAAAAAATTAATTCTTTTTTGAATATGTCTATGTATGATATGTTCTGGAAAACAATGATTGATTAAGGTGTCGTATACTAGCTTGATATTTTCTTGTTTGAAGCAGTCATTAGATAATAAAATAGCATGGTCAACTAAATTATAGATAGTGTTAATTTTATATCTTAGCGGGTGGTTCGAATAATAATTAATGTATCTCCCAGATCATGTAGGTTTCCTAAACCAATTGGTAATAAGTCTGGTTCCCGACCGAATGATTTTTACATTTAAAAAACTAATCGACGAATCAATCTTCATCTCGTAAGTAAATCTCAAGCGTTCGTGGCAATTATTAAAATTTCCAGTATATACTTGATAAGGACCACAACCATATGGTCGAAGCGTCGTATTAATAAACAAAATTTCTAGTTTGGTCGACTACACTTTTTTTCAATGATCCATAAAAAACAGAATTTTAAAAATACTTATACACATTATAGGTACCGCAAGTCCCGGAGAATCAAGTGAATCAGAATTATCAGTACCAGCAGCATAAGCAGAACGAGTATCAGGAGCAACAGGTTGATTATCGCGAACCTCAAATCGAAACGCGGCCGTACCGTCTGCAGAAGCCCTTCCGCGATCCGCAGCGTCGCAAGAAACCAACCACCGAACCTTCGCCGACGGATCCACCGAGCCAGTCGCCGGAGACTCCCGTTTCCTTAACCCATCACGTAGACGAAGTGCCCATTCAGACAACGCTGGCGCCGGAATCGCAGACTTTGCCGGCGGTAACGACGCAGAAACCGCTCAGAACTCGTCGTCCGAATATCCCGCTTCGACGAAGGAAACCTTCGACGACCACGGAGGAATCCGTCACGACGTCCTACGCGGAAAATGAGGAATTTCTCAAGTACAACAGAGAGGAAGTGCAATACAATCAGTACGATCCGTCGCGCAGAAGACGAATAAAACCCACCCAAGCGACTTACAACGAGGAGCCAGTCGCGGAGAAGAGGGGCAACGTCAGGAAACGACCTACTTACCGACCCAGAGTGAATCACGACGACGCCTTCGACGCCCAGGTCGTCACGGAAAGCGCGCAATTGTCGCTGAATTCCTACGGACAAACGACGGAAGCGCCAAATTACAACGAGAACAACCAGTTCCAGACGAATCAGCCGAGCGTCTCGTACGTAACGAATCAGCCGGTTAATCACTATTATGATCACTCCTCGCAGCAGAGTACGGGACCACGCGAGGAGCATCGCGAGGAGCACCGTGAGGATCATCACGAGAATCATCGCGAGGATCATCGCGAGAATTACCCCGAGAATTATCGCGAGGCGGACGTCACCGTGCCGCCGCAGGAATATTTCACGGAGATCAGCCGCGAAAAAGGCGAGGACAATGTCGACACGCGTACGAAGAGCGCGAACGTTGTCACTAATATACCGCTGGAGGATCTCTACGTGAAGACCGACGGTAATTACTACGATCGTGCGACCACGATTGCATCGACGACTACGACGACTACGACGACGACCACCACTCCGCAACCGACGACGCAGGCTCCGCAGATTGTCTCCTCCACTCTGAGATCTCACAAGATGCGCCCCTTGAGATACGGCAATGCTACGAGGCCACGCTTCAGCATCAAGGACTACAAGAGCCGTTTGGACTACAAGAGCCGATTGTCCCAAGTCACCACGACGGAGGCCGCGCCGACGTCTACCAGCGAAGCCTTCACACGGGGGTCTCATACCAAGCAGAGAATGTCGAGTGCGAAAAACCAACAGCTTCAACAGCCGAGCGATACCACCAGGGAGACCACCGGTAGATACAAGTACGTCTCTAGGGTAAACTATCGAACTACTACTACGCCAAGCTCGGCGGTAGCGAGGGAGTACGAACGATTCTCGGAGGAAACGCCTTCGACGACCGAGAAGAGCAACAAGTTTGTGCCAAAAAGACGGCCGATTAGCAGCAATGTGTATCGAAGCAGGATCGCAACCACCACGAACAATCCCACCCGATCGCAAGTTAATGGTGAGACAAACGTCCGACAGAGCTCGACACGACCCGAGAACGTATACTCGTCGTCGATACGCAAACGGCCAGTCATAAAGAGCAGATTGCATCCGCATAAGGAATCCGCGGCCACGGTGTATCCGGAAAGCAAGCAACAAGATGAACCCACGGAGATGGCCGCCGAGGAGACCAGTTTTTATTCAGTTATGACGACCGCCGCCTCGTCGTCGACCACCCGTCTCGTAGGCAACGAGATTGTCAGCGAGAAGGAGGAGACCACGTCGCTCGAGAGCCATCCAGGGAAACTCGGAGTGCACGAGGACACAAACGAGGATCACCAGGTCGAAAGGATCACCGTCTCCCAGGACGAGGAGGGAAAGGCAGCGTTGATCGACACGACGACGATCAACGATGACGATCGCCAACGAGTCTCCAGCGAGGGGCAGTTCAATCAGAGTCGGGTCGAGAAGGAAGTCTCCCCGTCCGTCGAGAGCAAAGTCGACGCGCCAGTGGCAGAGTCGGAGGCTGCAGAGACCACAACCAAGTTCGACGTGCATTCCGACGAGGAGGAACTATTTGCCAAGGCGTCGCAGAGCGTGGCGGATCTGACGAGCTCCGCGTCCGCTCTCTACGACAAGCCGGGCTTGTTCAAGGCGGTCTCGCCGGAGAGCAGGCTCGTTTCCTCCCACTTCAAGATAACCACGGACGAGCCGACGTTACCTATCGAGGCCTTCTTTCAGGAATTCTCGAAGAAGAATTAATGATTGACGAAAATAGTCCGCGCGAGGGCAGACCGAATCGAGGGTTGCCGAATCATGCGATCGATAATTTCCAGTTTCGAAGGCGGAGAATTGCGAAAGAATTTGCGAGCATTTTTCGGAAGCGAATTACGTCAGATGCGATATTTTCAATAATACAGCCGCTGCGAGAAAATTTATATTTTAAAAGAGAATGTAAAATGTTACGTTAGGGAGGGCTACAATTTTTCTCCAAGTATTATGTTACTTGTGAAGTCTCTCGACGCGAAAAAGCGTTTCGAGAGAAGAACTCACATATATATTACGTCACACATACACCGTAGCCTTATGCGTACTTATTTCCGTTTCTAAAGTATTGTCATTGCATCGTTTCGTGAAAAATTAAAATGCTCGCGTATCGAGCACTTCTACACGCGATCGTTACATTTCGAGTATACTTCCCAGTGGATACTTTCTTAACGATTAAACCAAAAATATTAAGTCCGCGAAGGAGCGCGACTGTACGACGAAACTCCCGGTAGAGCAGTCGCGCTTTTTCTCGTATCCTCGACAGGACATTGCGTGCGCAATACCTGTAAAGAGGCGAAAACATTCGACCTGCTCATGTCCTGCGATAATGTACATCCTTTTTTGTACCTTTTTATTCTAGGTTACTCGTAAAGGAAGCAATACTAAATTAGAATACAATGTAACAATGTAATAATTATGTTAGTGTATAATCGTGAATCATATCTCATTATATTTATTTGAAGCATGCGGGATCATTCTCTAAATCATTTCTCGTTCTGCGACGCCGAGATGAGAAAACTAACAAACATCAAGAGATATTGTAAATACGAATAAATAGCGTAGAAATTTTCAGCACTATTTTCTGGGCGGAAGGTTTTTTTCAAACTTTTATACATGAAAGAGGAAAAATATGTTTCAAGAGCATTTGCAGGGATATTTAAAAATATACAGCAATAGATATATATTTTGCATTTTAAATTTTGCAGGGATATTTAAAAATATACAGCAACAGATATATATTCTGCATTTTAAATTTTGCACGAGAGATATATTTTTTAAAGCTAAGAATAATAATTTTTAGAAAGTTTCATTTTAGATTATTACAGGTAAAAAAAGTGAAATTTTTTTAAATAAAATGATACTGCCCAGTATATTCTATATTTATAAGTATCGTACGTCGGTTGTTTAATATTTTTATATATTATTATATATATATATTATTATTATTATATATATATATATTATTATTATATATATATATATATATTATATATATATATTATATATATATATATATTATATATATATATATATTATATATATATTATATATATATATATATATATATATATATTATTATTATATATATATATATATTATTATTATATATATATATATATATATAATATTTTAATTAGAATTTAAGAAATCCATAATATATTGTTGTATCTATTTGAATGATACGACGTTATCAACCGATTAGTAAAAATCGGTTTATAAAAATATAATGCTCATATAAACAAATCTTTTTTTATAAAAATATAACTGGAAATGTATATTTTATAATAATGCGTTTGAAGAAAATGCGCATTTAATACAATCGATACATTCTTGCATTATTTATGTATTCAATATAATTATGTATTTAACATAATTATTTTATACTGTAAATAAATACATCAGATTCAATAGAATGCATTTGAGGTTAAACAAAAATGGCAAAAAACCCTGAAACATTTGCTTTGTGGCTTGCTAATTGGATAAGGGATGCTTTAAATTACGAAGGACATTAATAAAGCAAAGAAACGTTATTTGAAACATCGTAATCATCATTTGATTTAATAATTCGTTTAATAGCGTTCAACCTTATATTTGAGTTACGGTAAATGGTTACATATACGTATAATTGTGAATGAGTAAAATACTATTTCGCAGCATATTTTTTCATGATGCAAGAATAAAGTCCCGCAAAATACAGCGATCTCTTTGAAAAGATATTAAAGAGACAAGATGTCATAATAGTAAGTATTTCTTAAATTTTTCGTAACGAACATTCTGTTTTTATTTAATCCATAAACCAAAAATTTTATTCTAAAGAAAGCAATCGGATATTAAGATATTTAAGAAAAAATAAATGTATAGTTTTGGATAATCTTTTATGACTTATAAAAATGGCGAAAAGAATTCAAATTAGAATAGATTCCATCATTATATCGACGTACGATCTTGTGTAATTCATGATTAATCAACGAACGAGATAGTATTTTACCCGTCCCGATACTCTTAACGTTAGACGTAATTCTCTTGATATTCTAACTCTTACGTCTCTCCCACAGCCGATTACATACGTATAGACCTACGGATATTACTTCGAACGTACCTAATTTAGAATTATGCACAGGCCATACATTTCACATTTATATGTACTGACTATACGCGTACTCTTACGTTACACGTATATATATATATATATATATATATATATATATATATGTATATATATATGTGTATATCTACTATGTATATATATATATTTTACGTCGCTTGGCTGAAGTTTTGTGTATATCATAAAACTCCATGTATAATTGACAGTTAAAGTGTTTTACAATAAACTCCGAGGTACAGTTCGCGATATATACAACAGTATCAAACTATAAGACAAAGTACAGGCACACGCACACTAAAATATATATGTATATATACATATGTATATGTACACTACCTGCAGCAGCTGCGCCGAGTGAGCAAAAAATATGGACGTCGCGATTAATTTTCGCACGCATATCGGCAATATCGCATGTGCCAAGCCTAAGCGTTCGCATTAATCGATTTTACAAAAGGAAACGATAATCGCCCAATATGAAATGGTGAGATTTAATATATTCGAGGGATATGTATCTCGCGTTCTCCAATAATTTACGTTTGAAAAATTCTTACGTAGATATCTGCCTATCGCGACTTACACAAATATGACAATATTTCGACTTGGAGTTAGTAAGTAAAAGCGGGGAGAAATGTTATTCTCGTTACAGACGCAATACAATGACACATGAAATTAATGATTAGTATAATATTAATATTTTTGGAGAAATTATTCTCTGGCCTCGAATATAACGCGCTATAAAAAATTATTCGTCATAATTATTTCACGTAGTTTGCGATGACTATATAATTTTCGGAGATGCAGAGTACGAATCGCTACGTCATATATACCTTTAACTTGCATTCAGTGACAATTTTAATAGAAATATATAATCAAGAGCAAAAATGTAGACGTACATAAGAACGCATTACTTATTTAAGAATTATAGAATATTAATCGCTTTAAAAGTTCGTCGTATCGTTTCCCTACTGCGTCCCATCGTGAGTCTCCGGGAAGAACCATTAATATTCTAAGAGGCGGAGACAAAAGTGAACCAAGCCAACGTGTAAAACGCGGAACTTAAAGGCACCTTCATGCGCTCAAAAGATTAATTATTACGACCGGATTAATGGGACATTTTTTATAGAGGTGAATAAGTCATTTCGAAAGGATACGAAAATACAATTCTTACATTTAATTATCTTTTTTTTTCCATCGGGAAACCATTTATCACACTGGGGTCGCTGAATGTTGCTCTAAAAACTTTAATATCCCGCTTTCTTCCCGCGGCAGAAAAATGAAATGAAATGAATATTGTTGATTGGAGAATGTAAATTTTATTTTTTTTTCCAATATTTTGTTTCAATAGATCACTGCGAATACACAATTGTCTATGGAATATCGTTATTCGAATTGCCTCGTATGCAATTTTTGATGTAATCATTACATTCTCACATCGAAAATATTATTTAAAATAATTTTATATCATTTAAAATATCATATTTTTCTCTTTAAACTATAAACTACTTAATTTACATATCATATAGTATACATATCAACAATAATAATATTTTGTTTTACATATTTTCATAAAACTAAATTTTTAAAGAATATTATAAAGATAATTATTTTAAAGATAATTTTGACTTAATCAGCTGATTACTATTTATGTAAAAAGCAGCAAGCGTATAAATGACTGCACGATGTGCAGCTTCTACCTCGGCGTTAGAGAAAAAATTCGAAAAAATAAAATTCAATTGAGATATAGAATACAGCTAGCTGTCTTTTAATAGCGCATTTAGTCTATCTAGTATTCTGGATTTCGTCTAATTAGTAAGTCGAAATGTCTACGCGATGCGATTATGCCACTATGTATACACACGCATGGTTCGTCCTTTAGTAAAAATATAAAAAAGGTAGCATCTTATGTATGTGAGTGTGTATGTGAGAGAGAATAAAAATGTTAGTTTAAAATGTACTAGAAAAGGAAGTTGCAGTGCCTCGTGTATATATAAATACGCATATATGTGCATATATGTACATGTATATATATATATATATATATATATATATATGTATATATATATATATGATTTATGGAAATATTTCGTACGATAAATTTTTTAGACAGTGGTACGTGTTATATAGTTCAAGCTGATATCAATATTTCCCTATCTATTTGCCTATTAGCGATTAACCGATCGGCCTGTCCGCAATCAATAAATATCCCATTTAAACGAATGCATTAATCTTTGTTATCGCAAAGAAGATTTGCAAGTCATGACACTTATAACCTGCATGCAGTAATAGCGATACATTTCTCCGATTGAAGCGAAAGACGGCAACATCTTAAACGAGTATAATCGAATAATATTTATTATATATATATTTGTTATATATATTAATCGATAATATATATTATGTTATATAATGAACTTTATATATACAATAACATAGTATAATATGGAGAATATGTATTCAAATCTATATAATACATTAAATTTCAAATGATATAATGCTGAGTTGTTACCTATATTAATATTGAAATAAAGTAAGAGGATGTATAATATATCTCACATAAAAGAAAAACAAAATATTCAATTTTTATAAAATTGTTATCTTTAACGATTATTCATAATAATCTTTATTTTGCAAATTTAGAATATATGATTCATATCTAATTTCTCCAAATTATTCGAAATTTTGGATTCTTAAAGATATAACATTTTTCAAGTTAGCGTTAAAACTTTTTATAATTAATAACTCTTAATTTTTTTCTTATGAATATATAATTAACTAATTTCGATAAATTTTAATAACATTTCTTAGATATCATATATATATATTTAGAACATTGTATTCTTGACACATATATGTATATGTACACTTCCATTTTATTCGAATTTCTCGTCGATTTTCGCAAATGTACCCGATGTAATATGTCGGCCAGCGCTACGTACACGTCGAAGCGAATTTTTCACTTCGATAACCGTCCACTTTTCCACACGTTCGACGCTTCAATCGTGGAAATGGCCTTACGCGAAAGGGAACAACTAGGAAAACGATCGGTCAGCCGATTGGTCAACGCGATGTACTTGTAACACTTTCAAGCGGGTCTTCCCTATGCTACGACCCCTTTTTAGAATTTCCATATGTGGCTTTGAGACGTTGGTCCACTTAGTTTAGTACGTTTATTATCACTTTTTATTAATTTACGATGCGGACGCACACGAGCGGACTGAAGTTTAGAGTAACATCGATCTCTCGCCGCGATCGCAAAAATGGGATGATAGCTGGGAATCGGAAATCAATTAATTCCAAACGGCGGTGTATAATCCTTTAGTTGAATCGTAAAACTTTTAATCATATCAACATAAAATCCGCATAAAACACACGATATTAATAATCCGATATATTAATCGCATTAAGCGCAGATATTTCTCAATTCAAGTGAGGGCATTGTTTAATAACGGATATACTCTCGTTGTTTGAACTAATAGATCACAAACATCCGCGTGCATGCGCATATATTTGAAATTATTTATTTGATTTTGATACATTGCGCACATATTTAATTATTTGAGAATTGCACAAGATTTATCATTAACGAAAAAATCGTGGGTAGCACAA